TGGAATGGGATGGGATGGGATGGTGTGGAATGGAATGGGATGGGATGGGATGGTGTGGGATGGGATGGGATGGGATGGTGTGGGATGGAGCAGGCTGAGCACAGCCACCAAAATAATGTCACAGCCGTGGGTTGAGCACCTCTTGTCAAATGATCCTCAGATTATCCTTCTTCCTCCCCAGGCAGTTCAGTGGCCTTGCCAGTGTGCTGCTGCCTGGGCTCCAGGAAAATCCAGGGAGCTCTGGGGCAAGGAAGGGCAAAATTAATTTGACTTCTGGAACCCAAAGAGCGGGAAGGCTGCGGTAGGGGCAGCCTGCTCCTGGAAAGGAACAGTAATTCAGTGGGAAACATCTCAGGTTTTGTTCCTTTTGATGAATTCTCTGAATTGTGTGTCTAATTGTGCTCAGTTATCCCTGCCCTGCGCGGGTGGGTTCCCGGTTTCCAGGCAGGGATGTACATTGATTTCTTTCACAGGCCTTGAGACAAAAGTAATTCATAAAGGACGAGGACCTTTGCTCTGCTGTCAGTGTGAGGGGGTTGCATTTCAATGTCTGTATTGTTGGCAGCCTTTACATTGATTCAGTCTGAAACCTGAATGAGAAATCAGTGTGTTCTTGTGTGGACATGTTTCAACTGAATTATTAAATGAAGTGACTGACTCTTCTCTCTGAATTAAACCAGAAGAAAAACTGCAATTAACTGTTTCATTGACTGGGGAGAAGCAGCAAAATTGATGTGAGACATTGCCCTCATAGATTTTTCTTGCCTGTATTGTGGAAGTGGGGGTGAGCTTTTAGGGGGATGAGAGAGGAGAGCGCTGTGACAACTTTGTTCCCAGAAATACAAATGGTTTCAGTTCCTTCTTGTACCTCTCTTGCTTTATTTCTCCTTCCCTTGGTGAGGACCTGCTTCAGCCTTACTCTGCCAGGGCTTAGAAATCCCATCATGCTGCAATTTACCTTATCCCTGCTCTCCTGATGGTCCTCAGTGGCTTGTGAGGCAGGGAAGAGGCACAGAACTGCTTCTGGTTGGGATGTTTGCCTTATGAAACCTGTGTTCATTTTACATTTCAACATAACTGGCTTTTCCAGGAAGGTTCCAGCAAGTCTCAGGCACCAGGGGAAGGTCATTTGGTGACGCTGGCAGGTGTCCTGCACCCACGTGGGGCCAGCACCCAACAGCCTCTGCTGCCAGGGGTGCTAGAGGTGACAGGGAGATCCTTCCTTGGCACAGCTGCCTGCCCCTGGCACAGCTGGGAAAGGCCTTGTGTGAGTGTGGGAACTTGCAGGAGGGAAGCAGAATGTGGGGAATGCTCGGTGAGGGTCTGTGGGGCAGCCGAGCAGGACCCAGCTCAGGGATGGAGCAGCACTGCCCTGGGGGAGGTTTGTGGCAGAAGCTTCCATTTGTTGTGTGTTCTGGCCTCGTGTCTGTCCTTGAACAGATGGACAGTGACTCTGGGGGTGCTGTGAGCTGGGCAGAGTGACCTCAGCTGACCCCTCATCCTCCCCAGGGCCATAATCTCTGAGCCTTGGGCACAGGGTGTGGCTGGGATTAAGCAGAGATTATGTAGACAATCCCTGGGATCTGGAGTGCTGCCAGCTGTTTGCTCCAGAGGACGGTGCCGTGGTCGGAAGAGCAGGTGGTTGTTTTCTGTGCAGCACAAAATAATGTGCTTTTTGAGATCTGGGAACATGCTGCTCTGTACAGCTCTGCACGCAGAACTGCAGGATTGCATTTCCTTCCTGGTGTGTGCTGCCACACTGCAGTGCTCTGAGCCCCTTGGAGAGGGGAAAACAGGCATTTTATGCAGAATACCCAAGTTAGTCTCCTAATACAAAATTTTATTACCTACATAAGAGTGCATTTCTCACACCATGTGGCATCAGTAATGGATCCTGTTGGCTCCAGTGTAATACTTTTTAAATGTCCCGATTTTGCCTCTAAATATATAAATCATAGAGTCCCAGAATGGTTTGGGTTGGAAGGGACTTTAAAGCTCATCCCTTCCCACCCCCTGCCATGGGCAGGGACACCTTCCATTTTCCCAGGCTGCTCCAAGCCCCATCCAACCTGGCCTTGGACACTTCCAGGGATGGGGCAGCCACAGCTTCTCTGGGCAACCTGTGCCAGGGCCTCCCCACCCTCACAGTTATAACAGAATACATATATATAACTCCATGCCTAAAGTTCCATTAGGAATTCCTTGGGACTTCATGGGGTCCGTGGTGTTTTGGTGTGAGGCAGGGGTGGGAGGGACCTTGGTGTTTGCCTGATTTGAGGAGTGAGCAGAGAAAGGTTTTTTTTTTCCTTTGGTTTATTTTTCCCCCCTGTTCAGGCAGCCCAGCACACCTTGGGGAGCTGCTGCAGGCCCTGGGCTCTGATGAACAGCACCGAGGGGGCCCGAGGGAGCAGTGATGGCTCCAGCCCTGCAGCCTGAGACTGGTGACAGTCTCGTGTGGCACTGGGGGTCTGTTAAGCGTGTTCACATATCTCTGTCTTACACGTGGCAGCTCCTTGAACCTTATCAATTTTTAATGGTACTCCACTGTAATAAGAATATATGATCACTCGCTGGGCAGGAGAGGCTCAAATCCCTGCAAATGCAGGTTTTCTGGGAGGTTTCTGAGAGCAATATAGCAGGAGGCATTTAAGGCGTGCTGGTAGAAGAAGGTGAGCTATCCATCAACCACACAATCTTGGATTTGAGTCTTCTATTTAGATTAAACACGTTAAGAAAGATGGATGGTAAACGTATTTCAGCAGCATTGTCCCCAAACCAGAGCAGAATATAAAGAGTCTGGGAGAAGGATTCAATTACACTGGCAAATAGCTCGAGCAGGAGCTGGGTAGGAAGGGAGCTCGTAGGGCAGTGGGATGTGGATTTATGGAGTTCTGCAATAAAAACACAGTTTTCATTAAGCCCTCCCATTCCCATCACATTTGTACTCCATGGAGACACACCTGTGAGTAGGTTTAGATGGTGACTTCGTGCCACTGTACAGGTGTTGATGTGTGTGGTAGTTTATGTACACGAGTGGCATCCCAAATTCATGCTCCCACCAGCTTGGGAATTCGGTTTGACTGTGTTCTTGTTGGGAACTGCTGCTGTGCTGGTGCCTTTGGGTGACTGAGAGGTGATGTTGGTGTTCCCTGCCCTAAGTACACAGAATCTGGAGAGGGAGAAACCTGACCAAACCCTTTGATAATGTCAGTATTGGCTCACAGGGTGTATTCCTGAGGTGGTTTAGTGCTGCCAGGATGAGGAGGGTGGGTTTGCTGGTTGTGCCCAGAAAGCATCAAAAGAAATAAATGGGTTATTATCGGTGTGTAAGGGATGTGCTTGCAAAGGCCAAGGCAGGAGAGGTGACTGTGTTGCAGGGCTTTCTTGTATGGTTATTCAGTGCCCAAGACAAATATTAACAGCCAGTGGTATGTTCTGCCTCAATACCAGGTTCAGGGGAGTGGGGCTTGCCAGCAGTGCCATTGTGAGCCTGTTTTCCTGCAGTGTTCCTTGAGGTGTGCAATTACCTGGCTGATGGCGAGGGGTTTTCTTATCTTGACGTAACTGCAGGAGCTGAAACTTTGTTCTTTTCCTCTCAGTCTGGCACCTGGCAATTAAGGAACCGTGTGATGCCTGTGCTTTGATCTTTACCTGCTTCTGCAGTCCCTGGTGCTGCTGTGATTCCGAGAAGGGGAAGGATTGACCATTGCTGAGCCCGACAGCTCCTGTGGCACTTCACTGTCGGGGCAGAGAGTCCCTGGGTTTGTGTGCTCGTTGTGTTCCTCGTGTGCCAAACCTGCTAAATAAACCCCCAAAACCTGCTGGGGTGAACTCCCATCCTCAAAACACTCAGTTCTCTGCTGATGCCCCTCCTGGGGGGCATTAAAGTGCAGGGAAGGGTTAACACGATTTTGTTGTCAGTTGTGGTTCTTTTAATTGAAGATAAGTGATTTTTCTTTCCAAATTCTTGTTGCTGTTCTGCGTTCAGTTGTTTAGTCCACGTTTTGACAGATATGGAGAGCCAGGTAACAGCCCAGGATTGAATGCTGGGTGAGGTCAGGACTCAGTTAGGATGCAGGGAATGGGTGAGTAGCTGGTGTGGCTGTGATTCATCCCATGAGTTCCCTGTCCAGGGTTTTGTGCTCGAGACCTCCCTGCAGAACAAACACCTCCTATCAGCTCACGGGCTGCAGGACAAGAGGCCCCAGCAGGTTGCTGACACTTGCAAGCACATTCTGCTTTCTCTGGGGCTTTTTCACTTGGCTGTTTAACAAAAAACAACACAGAAGCTGAAAAACCCCAACCCACACACGCATTCGCCTGGGATTTCTCTCCTTCTGGAATTTGTTTGGATGCACTGCCTGTGAAGGAAACCTCAGCTCTGGGTCTTGCTCTGTTTCTGGGTTTTAGGCAGGGGTTGTGCCGAGGTTTTTTCCAAGAGGTTTGTGTTTAATTTCCTTATAGCTTTGAGTGACCTACGAGCTGAGTGCCTTGTGGGGCTGCCTCTGTGTGTGCTCCCAGACACCCTCCCTTGATTCTTTGGGTCGGGGGCATTTCCCAAGATGGCAATGTCAGGATAATCTCTCTTAAACACAATTTTAAATTAATATCTGTGGATTTCCAGTATCCTTTTTCCAACCTGTTTTTGGTCACTGGTTGCTGTGCAAGTCACGTAGTCACCGAAGTGAGAGGGACCTCCCAGTGCAGCCCCACAGCTTGGGACAGAGTTAGAGAAGGTGACTTGGATGATTTTGTAGCCATAGGAGCCAGCAAAATCCCTCCTGCGTTTTTTGTTGTGTCTGTGGCTTGTCAACCATTCAGAGTTTTCTTCTTCTTCCTCCAGGGTTGGTGTCCAGCCAACATTTAGGATATTTTTTTCACTTCATTGCCCAAATCTTTTCATT